CATTGTTGTTTGGCGGGTCCGGGCTGGGGATTCGAACCCGCCACCTTAGGTGTACGTGGCTGGCGCCCTAGCCGGTTGAGCCACAGGCGCCGAGCCCTTCTTTTCAACTAGTCTTCAACCTTGACCTATGAAGACTGGAAGAAAACACTAACATAGTTTCTAACAGTTCAAATATCTGTACCTAGGTTGACCCTAACCCCCTGAAAATACATACCTGAGAAATACTTGTGGCTGCCAAAAGAACTTACAGTTTGTTCCAACCATCTTAAGATAGGGCCCCAAGCCTCAGCCTCTGCAGGTGGTTAGAGGGACCAAGCCCTACTTTCTGCTTTTTGTAATTTTTTTTTTCCAGACAGTCTCAAGCTGTCACCCTGGGTAGAGTGCTGTGGTGTTACAGCTCACAGCAACCTCAAACTCTTGGGCTCAAGTGATCCTCTTGCCTCAGCCTCCCAAGTAGCTGGGACTACAGGCACCCACCACAACGCCCGGCTATTTTTTTGTTGTTTTAGCTGTCATTTTTTTTTTTCAGTTTTTGGCCAGGGCTGGGTTTGAACCCGCCACCTCTGGCATATGGAGCTGGCATATGCCACCTCTGGCATATGGAGCCCTACTCCTTTGAGCCACAGGTGCCACCCCTCTAGCAAGTTTTATTGAAGAAAAACTGTACATGATTTACTTTTTACCAGTCTGTTGTGGCATGCTTCTAATGATATCAGAGTCACCTGGATCAATGATGGCCAGTGTGCACACTCTGTAATATTTTCCACGTGCTATGCCCAATTCAATATTATTGCCACTGTACTGATGAACATCAGTTTTAGCTAACATGGCATGGTACTCTATTTCATATTTCCTCAAAGCTGGGCAGTTGTTTGTGAGAACGACCAATTTCACTTTGCCTTCTTTGATCATCTTCAAAGTCTGCTTGTGCCCCAGCATATACTTTTCACTTTTTATAATGAGCTGGAGCCTCAAGTTGATTGACTCCAGAGACTTTTTCATCTTCAAGACCTTGTCTTCCTGCCTTAGGTGCAGGATGGCCCCAAACCAGGACCAGCCACCAAGATGCTGCGGGATTGAGAAAGCTGCTTTTTGTAATTTTTTTGCCTCCTGATTCTGCTGAGTCCCTGCTCACTCCTTTCCTAGTCCCTTGTTCTCTTTTAAAATGCTCAGTCACTGCTGTGAAAGTGGAAATTCAGTTCTGTTCAGGCTGACTTTTTTTCCTATTGTAATAATATATTATTGATCGAAATCTGTCTTTATAATTTTCGGATAATTTTGTTTATCTTTGACCATACTCAGATCCAAAATTCTGCCACAGTTCCATATTGCTTTTTCTTCTCGTAAACTACCTTGAAGATATATTCATACCTTCATGCTTCTTTACATTTCATTTCTTTCTTATTCTAGCTAGCATAGTCTAAATGATATTTTATCTTAGGTTAGACAAGAATTTCAGAAGCAACATAAACAAAGATAAACAAACTTGACTACATAAAACATAAATATTTTAATTTTTTTAATGATGTTTTGAGAGTTTATTTTGTTTTTTTATTATTTTTTTTTTGAGACAGAGCCTCAAGCTGTCCCCCTGGGTAGAGTGCTGTGGCATCACAGCTCACAGCAACCTCCAACTCCTGGACTCAAGCAAGTCTCCTGCCTCTGCCTCCCAAGTAGCTGGGACCACAGGCACTCGCCACAATGCCTGGCTATTTTTTGGTTGCAGCCATCACTGTTCTTTGGCGGCCTGGCTGGATTCGAACCCGCCAGCTCAGGTGTATGGGGTTGGTGCCCTAGCCGTTTGAGCCAAAGGTGCCAAGCCAGAGTTACTCAAATTCTAACGTTAGCTTTTCTGCAGCTAGAAAACGGAATAATTGACATCAGAGTTGTTTGTTTTTGTTTGTTTGTTTGTTTTGAGACAGAGGTTCATGCTGTCCCCCTGGATACAGTGCCATGACATCCCAGCTCATAGCAACCTCCAACTCCTGGGCTCAAGCGAGTCTCCTATCTCTGCCTCCCAAGTAGCTGGGACCACAGGCGCCCACCACAACGCCTGGCTTTTTTGTTGTTGTTGTTGCAGCCATCATTGTTGTTTGGCAGGCCAGGGCTGGATTTGAACTTGCTATCTTAGGGTATGTGGCTGGTGCCTTAATCACTTGAGCCACAGGTGCCGAGCCTTGAATTTATTTTGAAGGTCATTTTAAAAACAAAGTTAAAGACAATATGAGAAAAAATTGCACAGAATACACTCATTAAATAAGTATGATGATTAAATCAAATTAAGGGAAATGTGTTCTCTTCTGCAACTCCCAAAATAAGTTCTGTTGTACTAATGGTTCTTCTACTTCCACGGAGTCATAGCTCACAGCAACCTCAGATTCTTGGGTTCAAATGATTCTCTTGCGTCAGCCTCCCAAGTAGCTGGGACTACAGGTGCCTGCGACAACGCGTGGCTATTTTGTTGTTGTTGTCGCAGTTGTCATTGTTGTTTAACTGGTCTGGGTAGAGTTCGAACTGGCCAGACTTGGTGTGTGTAGCTGGAGCGGTGCCCACTGAGCTACAGGCGCCTCCATTATTACATATTTGGATGTATAAATTCTGTTTAAAAAATATTTCCGGCTCGGTGCCTATAGCTCAACCGGCTAAGGCGCCAGCCAC